TYKMYTKWSTRCARTAAAARAATRWAAYWRAAWRARWAARWAAAWAATATATATATATATATATATATATATAATATCATTTTAAATAGAAATAACAAAAATATATGTATAAAGAGAAAGTTTGTCAGATGATGATTCAATTGGGAAGACAAGTATACATACGCATATATATATGTGTATAAGTCGAAGGTAGGATCAAATTATCCATGATTTACGATTAGTGTTCGAGCATGATAATAATTTATGTATATGGGAGGACGGGTGTTAAATGATGCATTAACATCAAGAATCTTACTATCAACTATCAAATCGATGAAAAGTTAGACCAAGCTAACTGTTGCTCCTGTACGAAACATCTACAAAGAAAGATACAACACGTTATTATATGTAAGTAAGTACTTACTTACGTACGTAATTAAGACGCACTCTTTCTATATATATATAGATATATGCGTGTGTGTGTGTGTGTGTGTGTGTAACGTTGATGTTGTATAGATATAACAGGACGCCTTGTAAATCATTAACAAAGCCGATTGGAAAGCGCGGTAAGGCGCGTGCACGCGACGCAAACTACTGCTATAAAATCACATCGATAATTTCCCCAAGGCTGATCCCGAGCACGGATTACGCGAAACTTCATCCGATTTAGTGTAATTAAGACTCGTGGAAAGAAAGAAAGAAAGAAAGAGAAAGAGAAACAGAGAGAGAGAGGGGGAGAGAGAGAGAGAGAGAGAGAGAGAGAGAGAGAGAAAGATCAAGTCGGTTACAATTGGATTATCAGAGTTTTACGAGGCAATTTGTATTTTTTGAAGCCTGTCAGCGCTTTTTACGTCATCAACGACACACGTCGTACACACGATACCTTTGTCTATCTTTATTTATCGTTAATAACACCTTTGTAGATTCTATACTTTATAATACCACTCTCTTTTTCTTCACTGTGTTTATTCAGACAACTCGTTATGAATTATTTTTTTTTTTTCTAATAGAGAAAAATAGAATATATACTTACTACGCGTGCGTGTAAGTATACTTGCAGTTACAACAATTGATCCAATAATTATGCATAGGTATCCAGTATACTACAAAATTATACATCTAACAAAAGAAATTTTTTCTTCCAATTTATCAATTCGAAAAATTACATTTTTATTCATTTTATTTTTCTAGGATAAAATAATATATATATTTATAGATGTTAGTACGGGTTGTTAGTATGCTTACCGTTATAATGAATGATCTTAATAATTAACGATAACGTATACTACAAAATTATATATGCTAACTAAAAAATGTATTCTTTCCTTCAATTTATCAATTAAAAAAATTTCATTTCTGTCAATCATATTTTTCGAATAGAAAATATAACACACATATATATATAATTATACATTCGTTTAAGTATGCTTATAATTACAACAAATGACCTAGTAATTATACAAAGGTGCCTTGTAGTAGACAAAAAATAAAAACAATTGAAAAAAAAAAAGAAATTAGAAACCCCCTCTATATAAGAAGTAATATATCGTAAGCGGGAAAGTTTATTGGAAAGATATTCTCGGTCGTTTCGGTCGAGATAGTTCAGCCATATCCATCCAACAACGACGTTCGACGTTCTAACTTGCGCGAATGAGCGAATGCGCACGGAGACATTACGCAAGGAGGAGAGAACACGTGGTGGAACGGAAAAGATAGATAGAGTCCTTATAAACGCTTGCCGTTCGATCGCGGATCTCGAATTATCCGAGCAGGCTGATTTCGTTCCGAAGACGCAAGAAACACGTGCTCTTTCTCACCTTCTCTCTTTTTCTCTCTTTCTCCTCTTCCTCCTCCCTCTCTCTCTTTATCATTCTTGTTTTTTTCTTTTTATCTTTCTCCTTCTCTTGTGTTGAAGAGACCTAATCTCCGATTAGCAACCTTCTCGATGAGGAGCCTTCGAAACAGTTTCTCAGTTGCGCAAACAACGCCAGTCTCGAGAGTTGAGTGCTATCGAGAAATAAAGAGAAAGAGAAAGAGAGAGAGATAGTGAGAAAGAAACGAATGATTTAACCAGGAATATATCTCTATGAATTTACCAATGAAACTAACTTTCCAATTACGATCTGCATCACTGGACCTGAGTCCAGAAGATAACTGCTTGAACCCTGGCCTACCTCTATTTCGTTTCTTATTCATTCTCTATTATTATAGTTTAAAGTTCAAATATACTGAGATCATGGTGCCTGATAAATGAGAAGAGTCTGATATTAAAAAAAAATATATTTTATACTTTTATTACTGATAAACTTATTTGAAACGAATTGTAAATATGCAAATTAGAAGAATTAGATTACCTTAGAAACTAGTTGAACATCCCAAGGTAAAATGGAAAGAAGATCTATCACCTCGCAAGATGCACCGAGCTTCTCCTCGACGAGATCGGCTGTTTCTAATAGTACGTGCACCTGTGTGCCCCATCCTACGAGAGTCACGTCTTTTCCTTCGTCAAAACAAAAATACATATATACAGTAAATATATATTTTTCTCTGTATAAGAGACTTATATGAAAATTGAATAAAAATTAAAAATCAATTATTTTAGTTTGATATCTTTTTTAAAGCTAATATGTTTACTTCAGATTATAAAATTACTAATCTAGGAAATTTGGATCAATCCAGACCAATTCATGGTATACCCTTTATATAAATAAATAAATAATAAAAAAGTGTGTTGATGGTATAAATAAAAGTACCTTCTTTAACAATCTCTCCTTTACCAATATCAATTTTATAATGTCCAACCGGGACCTCGTCAACAGCCGTACGATAAAGGACCTTAGGTTCCAAAATTATGCAAGGATCTGGCTCCTCAATAGAACTCAATAAAAGTCCTTTTGCTTGCACCGGACCTCGAGGTACTACGATCTACAAACGAGGAAAATAAAATTAATGATCCGTTCTAAAGAAATTAACACATTTACATAAAAAAAAAATAAATAATAAAAAAGGAAAGATATAAAGATAACGTAATAGAAAATTTATTCGCGTTTCATTCGTCCATACCTCATTTGATCATAAAACATTAGTATCTTTTGTTCTTTATCGTATCGGAAGATAAGCGGGTTTAGTACGAAATATTTTCTATCAGATTTTTTACTTTACCGGTTCCTCATTTATCATTCTCAAGAATTTCTAAGAAATGTGAGAAATATGAATATATTTCTGAATTTGTCAAAAGGCACTTTGCATTGAGGACAATGCCCGAGTATTGCTAGTATTACCGGATTTCCTACTATGCCGGTAACATATATATATATAATTCACTTACTGTACATGTAGATATATTATACCAAATTACTGTTTTACCGACAATAGATACGTAAATTTCTATTAATATCGACCATTAGTAATAAATAGATTTCTCTTTTACTGACATTACACAAAAATATTAATATAATAAATATTAAATTTTTATCGTTATTTATTAAATAAAAACCTTTAATCCAGGTGTGTGAGCAAAATAAGCTTCCGGACTCTGTGAATGATACAGTCCCCCATGCCCTACAGCACCGCAAGGTGACCGTATCGTTAATTTTCCGCAATCGAACATTCCGCCGCTTCTGTATCTGCATTTAGCCGCTTCGTTTACTATCTAATAATAATTAAAAGATAAAAACATACGTATAATATTTTTAATTATAGAATCTAGAAATATTTGAAAGAAAGAAATAATTGGAAAACTAAATAACCTGATCAAATGCAGGAAATATATAATCGGCAAACTGAATTTCTGCAATGGCGGTTGCACCAACATTCGCCAAACCGATACCAAAACCTGCGATACCTTGTTCGGATAAAGGTGTGTTGAATACTCGATCGGAACCATAACGTTTTTGTAATCCTACGGTGCAGCGAAAAACACCACCGAATGCAACATCTTCTCCAAAAATGACTGTATTAAAAAATATAATATTTTAAAAAATAAAAAAACCATGCAAAATTATTTGCATAAATGTATGAGAAAAAAAATAACCATTGTCAATATATTCTACATTTAATATTCTTTCATATTGATTCTTATCGTAATTATATTTATTATTATATATGTCAATGCAAAAACTTATTTATATTATTTCTCGATACAAAATATTTTTATCTTCATTAATACTTGGTTGTTATCAGTGTCATGTACATTTTTGTAAAATAATCTTATGTAAAAGAGACATAAGTAATTTTTAGTATAATCAACTATATAAATTCGTTTTTGTTTCTATTTATGTTAAAAGAATGATATATTCACCTGCGGATGAATCTTTTTTTAAAGTAATGTCCAAAGCTTGATTAATGGCTTGATACATATTCAATTTTTCGGTTTTTCCTACGAATAGTAAATTATTAATTCAGTAGGGTGCAAAATTTAAATCTCGATTGAATACACATTCGCGTAAATATGTTTGCTCGTCGTTTAGAAATAAATAAAATTAAAATAAAAAGACAAACCTAAGTAATTATATACACACTTAACGTTCTATGTTATCCTTATTATTATTCATTAACGTAATCAGTACGTTTGCTAAAAATAATATTTAAGAGGAAAAAAATAAAAGATAAAACAATATCTTTTACAAGTTATTATTTCAATTCGTTATCAATGTTTAATAAATAAACAATAAGAAATTTTTGTGTAATAACAGTTTTTACTTACAATTATGGGACATATAATTTACTCACGCTCGGATATTAACGACCTTGCGTTAGGATAAAACTTGAAATGTACATTTCTAAAATGTTCCTTTCTTGCAATACGCAGCTCTAATATTTTTTTCGATGTTCTAACAATGAACTTACGGATCATTTTAATTGAATATTATTATTACGGATGCTTAGAATATATTTATGTAAATATATTGAGAAATAGAGACAAGAAGCTAGATAAGCAAGTAAAATAAAAAAAAAGAAAAAAGAACAAGATGAACACTAACTAAGAAATAGAATGATAATAACGTTATCTCTTCTAAGCGTTACTGTTTATACACGATATCATTTATTTCAAACTTTCGAAAGAATTTCGTAAATAGTAATATTTGAATACAAACACTACACGACAAACGACACGTCTTGAGATAATGTTCGTTCGCGTATAAGCGTTCGACTGATCTAAACTAAGCATTCGCTCGCTTTTAATATATGTATCGCTGAAGTCCTACGAACGACAAGTCATTCATTCATTCGTGATAAGCCGGATGAACGTCGTCATTAAAGCTTGACATAATAACATTTTCGAATTTAAAATTTTTTGTTGTTTCATATTCAATCACGCATTCGATTAAATTTTAAATAATCTGAAATAATATATTTGCTCTTTTTACTCACACTCATAAATTAAATTATAATATTACATATACATATATTACATATGTATATATGCATATATTACGGGTAATGTATTACTGCCGGCATTGTATAGAATATCCGATCATTCTACAAAATGCTCAGAGGGTTGCGGCCAATCAATAAAATATGCTTCAGTTTATTGTGTTTAGAGCACGAGGAAGGAGAGGGATTCTTAAATTTTCAGTATTTGTTTCACTTACAATAGTTTCTTTCACTTTCCTTGTGCCCTAAATACACCCCACTGAAATATATTTTATAAATTGAGCAAAACCTTCTATCTGTGAAATACCTGCTTATTATACATATTGCCCATATGTAACATATACGTATATTAGATCGTAAATATAATATTATTTCTTTAAATAATACTGTGTGCTATCCTGTAGGGAAAAAACTAGTTTCTTATAATTAATAAATTATAAAAGATTTTTATTCTATACACTTTTTTTTTTTTAATTATTAAGCCATAGATACAGCTTCTTCATAAAACGCCAAGGCTGTTACTGCTTTCTGGTGACCTTTATACTCACGTACTATCGCTCCCGTTGAAACGTTCCACAATCTTGCAATTCCATCAGAAGAAGCTAAACGTAACAGACATATTAAATTTTGTCCTTAATGAAATTATTATACATATAATATTTTTACCAGTGAATATGTATTGTGAATCCGCGCTGAAGGCTGCATCCCAAACCCAACGTTTAGCTTCGTGTTGAAGTACCTGTACTTCAGAGAAATCTGTGGTTCTCCAAACTCTGGCGGTTTGATCAGCGGATGTAGTCACGAGCAGGCTAAATATTATTATTTTGTAATTTTCATTTCTTCATCATTAAAAATTATCAAAATAAGATTAGATTTTTACGTACGTAGAATCAGGGCTAAATTTACAACGTAAGGCATAACGCTTATGAGCTACAAGTTTATGACGAGGAATAGGTTTAGTTGGTTCTTCTCCTATACCTCCTGAAAGTGTCCAGATGTAACAATGACCTTTATTATTTACAGCAGCCATATATGTACCATCTTGATTTATTGTTACATCTTGAATAGAAGCTTCTGTTTCTGGTATCTAAAATAAGAAAATATGTTCATATAAAGACAGAAGATTATTTATTTATAATTGTTTATATACCAATTGTTCATTATGATCCGAACGAAGATCCCATAAATGTATAACACCGCTTTGATCACCCACTACTAATTCTGCTTGATTAGGATGTAAACATACACAATTTACAGGGGCTGAGACTTGAAATATTCTTTGGCATTTACCGTTGAGAAATCTGAAATACAATCACACAAACATTAATTCTGAATATTTATTAACCGATGCAAATTCTTTTTAAATTATTTAACATACCTAAGATCCCATATCCGTGCAGAACAATCTTCTCCTCCAGTGTACATCCATTTCCCTTCTTCCTAAAAAGATTAGTAATAATAATCACAATACAGTAAAATTTGGTTCTACATTATGTTTCGATAAGATTTTAATGTTTTGTAAAACCTGAAAGCCAAATCCGCTGATATTCTTGGAACCACCTTCATAGGTAACTATAGGATTAGGATCACTTGTTGCCAAATCATACATTCGAATATGTTGATACCCTGCTGAACTTATAAAATATTTGTCTGGTGTAATGTCCAGAGCATTTACTTGCTAAGATTTATTAAAGAAAAATATTCATATTAATTAAATAAATATATTCAATACAAGTATCTAATAAAGATAAATTTTTCACAATGAATTATACAAAAACATAAAAAGGATACAAATTCTGTCTCTGTAAATGTACGTTCACAATTTCCTGTATGTGGTTGCCATAATTTAATTGTATGATCATAACCTCCTGTCGCAAAAAGTACTTGTTGATCACTAGTTTCATTATCCACAGTCATCTAAATGTAATAAAATATAATTTATTAAATAATCGAATAATTTCTAAATACCACCATTAATTTATTTGTGTTTACCTGGACAAATTTATACTTAAAGTGAGACCATTAAGAATCAACTATTCTATACATAAATATATATTTGCTTATAGTTAATTTTTAAAATGTTAAGACAAGTTACATGAATTTCATTAATAAATTTACTTCCTTATTATCTATATTTTTAATACATAAATATATACTTTACACATATAAATATATTACATAAATATATATACTTAACGTATATAAGTATATTATAGAAATATATATTTGTTTACAGCTAACTTTTAAACATTTTTAAATAAGTAAAAAAAGAAATTATGTGAATATTCATTCAAAAATTTATTTCCTAAATATCTATAGTTCTAATTCCAAACTTTCAATTAATGAATTTTCTCAGAATTTCACTAAGAAAACTTCCTGGACAAAAAGTTTGACTTCTCTGATTGGTTAATTTAAGAATGGCGTTTAATGGCGTAAAAAATCTTAATTCCTTCATTTCCATTTGCTGTTTAATTAAAGAAAGAAATAAAATTATAAATATAATTATAAATATAGATTATAGTAATAAAAATGATTTATTAATGTTATGTAATAAATTAATGTCGTAAATATACACTACATAATAAAAACGAATCAACCAATGAGCGAAGAGAATTTATTAGCTTGTCCAATCAGTTAAAAGTAAATGGATGTTAGTATTAAAATATGTGGATAGAATAATGTTTGAAATAATTTATATGTTTAATGCATGATCAGTAACGTATCTATGCATCTTAACCAAGCGTTTCTAATAACACAGAAGATATAATAGATAATAGTTATTTGTGAAGTAGAATTCATCGTAGTTCAAATAGTTGTGATTGCTAGTACATTGAATCTTTTACGAAAATGCAAAAAGTTGGAAAATTAAATTCGTCGATTGATATCATACCCTTGCAAGGATCTAGCGGTGATTATAAATCAAAAAGCATGGACAATAAACTCAAAATTGATAATTGTCACCGATTTTTCAAAGATCAATTATTAATATCACGCGTACAAACGGTAATGTTTATATTTCATTAATTTATAAGAGAGAAATAAAAGTTAGATTAATTTCATTGTTTTTATTATTTTCTATTTTCTTTTCTTTTTTAATAAACTGTTTGAAGAATTCGCAAGTTTCATTTGTAAAATAGAACAAAATTTGAAATTATCGAACCAATATAACCTACGTTATGTATAATTACTTTTTTTTCTCTTTTTTTTTTTACATATACTATTATCACGATTATTACTTTTGCTTATAGATTATTGTAGTAATCTGAAAAATACAAATATTTTCTTTTCATATAAGATAATATTATAAATGCACGGTATAAAACATATGTTACATATTGTATTTGTTCTCATCTATTCAAGTAATGAAGAAAATGATACTTTTTGTATGCTTAGATATTTTAAATCTAATAAGCAAATGTATATAATTTCTAATATATACATATTATATTAATAATACACACAATATATAAATGAGAAAGCATTATTTTCTTAATATCTTATACCGTTGTATTTTATTGCAGTACATGCATGAAAATGAAAACAAAGTATATATTGATGTGAATGAGATGGCTGATACTCTTCAAAGAAAGTATCGGGATTATCGTGCGAAAAAACGAAACGCATTCAGAGGACTTGTACGTAAAGCATACGACGAACTTACAGAAATGTTTGCTAAAAAGAGTTCACGTGAATGGTACTCTTATGAGGATGATGAGGACGAAGATGAAGTTGATGTTGAGGTACATAATAAATATTATTCATATTTCCTTTTATAGTTTCTCTTATTAATCTTTCAAAGAAAATCAATAAATTTTAGTCAGATCCGCAACCTGCTATATTTGGAGATGTTTTATTGAAAATGTTCAAGCAATCTAAGGGCAAGCAGAATGGAAATTCCAGCGACAAAGAGCTTATTGACATTAGTAGCGATGACGATATTGACAAATCTGAGCAAAAGTCTGAGGAAAAGGAGAAAAATTCCGTGGTAGCTAATAAAAGTTTACAAGAAAATGCAGATTCTCCATCAGCAGTCCAAAAATCCAACGATTCTAAAGAAGAGAGGCAACAATCGGCCCAAATGGTAATACACAGATACATAAGTATATTTTATCTTTTAATTTAAAAATGTAACATAATAATGTTAATATTTTAGATAAAGATCGAGACTTCTACTTCTAAACCGTCAATAGAAACGACAACTAGAAAAAGACAAAGAGATAAAGAAACTGATAGTGGGCAATTGCCATTAACAAAAAGAGTCAAAACAATACCGATTACGGAGCCAAAAGTAACATTCGCGGATATGGGTGGAAACGATAAGGTTTTGAAAACGGTATGCAAGTTATTGGCGCATATGAAACACCCCGAGATATTTAAACAACTGGGCATATCTCCACTTAGAGGATTTTTACTTCATGGTCCACCTGGATGTGGGAAGACTTTGTTGGCTCATGCTATTGCTGGAGTAAGTTTAATATTTTATTAATACATATTTTTCAACAACTTGGAAAGATACAAAAATAATTCATTATAATCAAATAATTTGGTATCTTTACTTTTTTATGATTATGAAGATTGATTAGTATTCTTTATGAGATTACCCTCTATGTGTTGTATATTTATATTTTATAAATATTTGAAATTAGGAATTAGCAATCCCTCTATTAAAAGTAGCAGCACCAGAATTAGTGGCTGGAGTATCGGGKGAAAGTGAAGCACGTATTCGAGAATTATTTGATCAAGGAGTTGCTATTGCACCATGTGTACTTTTCCTCGATGAAATCGATGCTGTTGCACCTCACAGAGCTACCGCTCAAAGAGAAATGGAACGAAGAATCGTAGCACAATTGCTGTCGTGTTTAGATGGTTCATTTTTATTTGAAATCATTCTTATGAATAAAATATTTGAAAAGATATTAAGATCATGTATGTTTTTTTGTAGAATTAAGCTCAAAAGAAAATGGGGATAGAGTCTTAGTTATAGGAGCAACAAATCGACCAGATTCTTTAGACCCTGCTTTAAGAAGAGCAGGACGCTTTGATCGTGAAGTTTGTCTTGGTATACCGGATAAAGATGCAAGAGCTAAGATATTAGCAGTACATACAGAAAAAGTAGCTCTAGCTCCTAACGTTAATTTATCAACAGTAGCTTCGCTGACACCTGGTTTTGTAGGAGCAGATCTCGTTGCTTTAATTAGAGAAGCTGCCCTAGCTGCTGTTGATAGGTAAACATAAACCAAACATTATTTTTTTCTATTATAAAAATCTTAAATTATTTTATTTAATTAATAATAATTTATTTTTTTTCTTTACGATAGAATTTTTGAAGATTTGAATGAGACAATAATGGAGGTTGATGTTTCTAAATCTCCTGAAATAAGTGTAATTAATCCTCAGACTGATAAAGAAGTCACAACATTTGAAAACTCAGAAAATTTAGTTGATAACATTGTTACTGGTGAACGTCCAACAACGTCTATCGAAGATACCGCATCATCTAATAGTAAAACGCAATCAGAAAATTCCAATGCAGGATTAGAAATGGATGTTACACAAGAGCCATCTAAGTCACCAGAATTATCGAATTTACTTACATGGTTACAAAACGAACCACCTCTTTCGGCAGAAAAATTATCGAAACTTTGTATCGAGGAAAGAGATTTTGAAGTTGCTTTACGTGTCGTTCAACCTTCCGCAAAAAGAGAAGGATTTGTTACAGTACCTGATGTTACGTGGAATGATATTGGTTCATTACAGGATATCAGACAAGAATTACAAATGGCTATACTTGTAAATATATATATTAACTTACTTGAAATTAAATATAAAATTATTAATACAGATTATTAATCATTACTATTACTTCTTTTTAGGCTCCTGTACGTCATGCTGAACAATTCGAAGCGTTGGGTTTGAGTTCTGCTACAGGTGTATTATTGTGTGGTCCACCAGGTTGTGGTAAAACATTATTAGCCAAAGCTATTGCCAACGAAGCTGGTATTAATTTCATTTCTGTAAAGGGACCTGAACTTCTCAATATGGTAATGTATCATAAATTTTGTTCTTGTTCATAATTGTGTGTATTTGTAAAATGCTAAGTAATAACAATGTACTTTATCATCTATCAATAGTATGTTGGTGAAAGTGAGAAAGCAGTACGCCAATGTTTTATGAGAGCAAGAAATTCTGCCCCATGCGTTATATTTTTTGATGAATTGGATGCATTGTGTCCTAAGAGAACAGAAGGTGACAATTCAGCTACGTCGAGAGTCGTTAATCAGATGCTTACAGAAATGGACGGGGTTGAAGGTAGACAAGGAGTATTTTTAATGGCTGCTAGCAATCGTCCAGATATTATTGATCCAGCCGTGTTAAGACCTGGAAGATTGGATAAAATTTTATACGTAGGTTTACCAACAGCAGCGGATCGCGTTGATATTATAAGAGCATTGACTAAGGTAAATGGTGATATTGAGTTAGTGTAAGTAAATAATATTTTACTCGTTAACTTGTTGTCTACGTATTTTTTCTCATATAGAATGGTACAAAACCAAAATTAGCTGCAGATATAAACTTGGGAGAAATTGGATATAACGATAAGTGTGATGGCTTCACCGGAGCTGATTTAGCATCGCTAATTAGGGAAGCCGGATTAGAGGCATTGCGAGAATTAATGACAGGATTTCATGGACAACCAGAGATCTGCATGCGACATATTTCTATTGCGTTTGATAAAGTTAGACCATCGGTTCATGAAAAAGTAAGTAATTGTATTTGAAACATAGGTAATTATTATATAAAATAATGAATTTTGCTTGCCTTAAAAAAATATTAATCAACTATTTATTCTCTCCATTAATTTTTCTTTTTTTCTACATACATATATATTACATATACTTATATAATAAAATATTTCTTACAAAAATTATTTAAAATGTTTAGGATATAAAAAACTACGAAAAATTAAAAAAGCTATATTCAGTTAAGAAATATTCAGAGGTAACATCTATGGATAATACTCAGTTAGAAACACCAATAGTGGATGTAGTTATGGAAGCAATGGAACCGATGGAACCGATGGAAACATAAAGCAATTTTATTAAAGATTTTGTGGCACTTCTCTTCCATTATCAAAATCCTATCTAAATTTTTATGAACATTAGAAATAAATATTATGTAAGATAATATTTTTACGTTAGAAATGATATACATTAGAATTTTTAAGTTTCACTGTTTACAAATTATGTAGATATATTCCTTTTTTTATTCTGATGTTGATATTATATAGTAAAAAAAATCATTTAATAAACAAGACAAGAGAAGATAAGATAATGAAACGATAATGTTCGGATATCTTATTTGAGGGAACATTATCTTGTATAACAGTTTTTATAAAACATAAATAAATTTTATGTTATCTATATAAACGAATGGTATACTACTTTGTATGCACTAAAATACAATATAATTTTATTTGATTAATTGATAATATTTTTATATAATAATTGACTTTAAAAATTACTTTCATTGTTTAAATTGTTTTGACAAAATGGATTTTTTTTATTATTATTAAAATACCGAAACAATTTACAATACTTACAAATGAAAAGGATTGATTTCTTTTTATCAACGGAATGTGTCTTATATAATTAGATATACGATGATAATATTTTCATTTTGCGTACTAAAATTTTCTTTTTCTTTCTTCTGTACTCAGTCCAATGTAATCACACAAATAAATTTCATTATTCTAATATTCGACGACATATCTAGCGAATAGATGATTGATACCACATTAAAATTTTTATTTTGTAATGTATATATATATATAATTCCGATAATAGTTAATAATAATAAATCATATTAATAATTTTTTGTGAAATTAAACAATTGATAAATATTTCACTATATATAGTCGAAATATTATCTAATAAAATGAAATAATGCAATTTACATGTTTTATTTTGTTAAGTTATAAAATTTGATTATAAAATCATCTATACAATTGATCTATCCGTTAAATTAAGAAAGATCAACCGTCATTTATTAGATTATTAAAACATAGCGACAGTCTTAGAAATAAAAGTAATATAGTTATCACTGCACATAGGGTTCTGTTGTGCGATTTTTCACTATCCAAGGATGAGTTAAAACATCTTCTAATTGTAGTCTTTTTTCTGGATTAACAACTAGTAACTATAAAACAAACAAACAAAAAATAAAATAAAATAAAAATAGTTAAACAATAGGAAGTAATAAAATAAACAGTTTACCTTTGAAATTAAGTCTCTTGCGCCTTCGCTAACAAAATCAGGGAATGTATATTGAGCTTTTTTAATTCTCATATATGTTTCTTCGTAAGTCTGTGCATAGAATGGAGGTTTACCAACTAAACATTCATAACACAGTACTCCCACGCTCCACAAATCTACGGTGTGATTATACGTCTTTCCAGCTACCATTTCTGGTGGTATATAATCAAGAGTACCACATAACGTTTCTCGTCTTGATGAAGGTGCATGAACAGACCAACCAAAATCAGCCATTTTTAATTCACCTTTTAAACCGAGCAATAAATTTTCTGGTTTAATATCACGATGTATTACTTTTTTACTGTGACAATACTTTAAAGCATCAGCTAATTGCGACATGTAAGTGGCGGTTCTGTAAATATTTTTATTATATTTTTTTAATACACTTATAAAAGTATATTAGAAAAAAAGAAAACTTACCTAACATCGTCAAAACGTTTGTCAGGCTGTGCATTTAATTCTTTATACAATTCACCCTTCGGAGCATACTCTAATATCAAATATACTCTTTTTTCATCATGAAAATAGCCATACATACGTAAGATATTAGGATGTCTATAAAAAGAAAATATACAAATTAATTATTATTTGTTCTTTTTTGATTACGGAATGTGATGGGGGTAATCGTAAAAGAATTATTTAAAATGAAACCTTAGGTGAGTTTGTATTTCAATTTCTCTTTGCACTTGATACAACATAACTTGGTCTTCAACGCCTTGCTTTTGCATTTGTGCTTTAAATAATACTTTCATCGCTATAATAAATTTAGATTTTTTTTCCCTAGCAAGATAAACATTTCCAAATTTTCCTTTACCAAGAGGACGTCCTATGTCAAAATCCGTAAGCACCCATTTCTTTTTATTACTTTTATTATTCGCATCATTCTGTTCAGTATTATTCGCAGTCACAACATCTTTTTTGTCATTATTATTACTAGTAGCATTATCACAGTTATCTTGAAGTTTTACTTCAGTTGACTCAGACGCAGAAGGAGGTTTCTTAGACAATTGTTTGGAAATATGGTTTTGATTATTTTTAGTTGTATCAGTTTTATCATATTGCACAACTCTATTATCAGTTTTTTTAATATCTTGATTGTTCTTCAATACTAAGTTTGTGGTATTTACAATTCTCAATCGTTTTAAATTATTAACTTGTAGTTTGTCATCTAATTGATTGGTAGTCGAATTTGTTTGAATATTATTTTCTTTTCCTTTCAGCATCCTTAGAAAACTAATACTTAATTAAAAAAGTAAATTATCTTTCTCTTTCTCTTAAAATAAAAAGAATAGTCTGGAAAAAATATATTACCACACAATTGTACAAAATCAAACATTAAAAATATATACGCCAATACAAAAATTTAACTTAAACCTTAATATTAACTAGTATGATAAGATTAATTAATACTTACGAATTAATATAAAATGTGTACAAAATATAACACATAGAACAAAATTTAACTAATGATAACGTCCAAGTTAATTCTTCTTAGCAAAACAATATCATTTCTAATGAATAAATTAAAATGTCTTATAATTAAACGTACCAAACGATCATTAGTGTTAAATACACTTATTCAGTTGTTTGTGTATATTCACGACATTCGCAAATTATCGGCCACGACCAATCTTTCTTAGCTTAGAAATACTTCTGTAAACGTTTTAAATCTTTCAAATAAATTCAAAATAACGTACTTTTAGTCCTCTCTTCTGATTGGTTTGAGGAAACTACAAGCATTGCATACGTATATTCTATTTGCATAAAAAGAAAGGCGAGTTCTCAGTACAAGCTAAACTTTCTTGAAAATCTAACCTTTTGTAACAATAATGATTTATTATAAACTAAAACCATAAAAAGTATACTTAAAAGACGATGGAAATTATCCTTTACATTTATCATCTCATTTAAATATTTCAGAAATTTATAATTTTCAATGAAACCATACAAAAATCAAAAAATGATCAAAACAATTTGTCCATTCGATTTGAATTTGGCACTAAATGTATCGAAAATCCTCTAGGAACGATTGGACCAATCAAAAAGCAGGATAACGGGTAAAGAAGTAGTAAGATGGAGGCGGATTAATCGACGAATCAGAAAGCGGGATAAGTTATCCTACCGAAATGATTATGCTTGTATTAGTGGGATCGCGATGAGATGACAGAGTGCGGGGAAGAGGAGTTGGGTCAGTAGAGGAGAAATGAAGGGGGGGGCATTGGCTGATGGTTGATAGGTGGGGGGCTGGTCGGGGTGGTTGCAGGGGAGGGGCCAGTACCCGGTCTAAGTTTCATTCATGATCGTCGGGTACGAAGCAAGCCATAATATATCTGTAAGTTGTATTGTGTAAACGGAGTAGACCGCGTTAGTGCTGCCGATGTGCGTGCGCCTAGCAGTTGTACACGTGATTATTACTCCTTTTGTGCTACGTGTTTTTGTTTCGTGTTATACGTGCATTACAACACTTTGGTTTAACCTTTATACCTGCCTCGTGCTATTCGCCACGATAAAACGGGTATGTAGAGAAGGAGAAGAATGAATGAATGAAAGAAAGAAAAAATGAATCATTACAGTTTCAATCTTTCAACATGATGGATCGGGTATATTTAAATTTCGAAATAATTTGACTAATTTTATATTCAAATTTTCTTTCTTCTTTTTTTAAGTTTTAGAAGTAATTAAAGATAATTAAGAGTTATTAAGAATATATGGTATAATCGTTTTTCTCTAAGCGTTCGACTTGCATCGCGTTTTCTTATGAAACGTCTAAGAACCCTATGATAAAACTCGCCTAACGCCTACGTATCTAACTTTTCTCTCTTTCTCTCTTTGTCTCTCTCTCTTTCTTTTCTTCTCTTGTCTTCTCTTTCTTTCTCTTTCTTTCTCTCTTTATATGTATTTGTTTTGACAAAGTTCTTCGTTGGCTAGCATCCTATGAGATAGAAATGAAATACACACACATATATACATGCATGCATACACGCACATGTTTAAAATACATAGCCGGTCAAGTTCTCCTACACATATACATATATTCTATTCTTTAAGAAATGCACATTTCGTTTAACGAATATCTACGATAATAGATTATTTTGATCAAAATGATTCGTTTATCGAGAAAATAATCGATGATGATTGGTCAAATTCGTATTACAAGTGGGTATGTGTATGTGTATGTGTGTATTATACTTTCCTTTCGTATAATGATCTTTTGTTTTATAAAATTCCTTCTGTATTTAAAAAAAAAAAATACAATTAAGATCGATTGACGTAATAATAAAAAGTTACACGTATCTATACACACAAATATATATTTAAAATGAAAGAGTGTAAGAATATTTTTTTATTTTGAGGTGGTATCGACATGTAAGGATCAACGTGTGATAAGATAACGCTGACTGAGTTAAGAAAACGATTCCTGTTACGAGTGCACTTACACACACACACACACACACACACGGTGTGTAAGTATGCACGACGTGTACACTTATGATGATGGACTCTGTGACACGTGTGTACATGTGTATATATGTGTTGTGTATCTGTATGTCGGTAGTAGCAATAAAATGCATAATAAAATAATAAATGAATAGATGATAAGCGATGTGTCTCCCACCGGTTATCACATCGTGTTAGTTCGTACCGCTAGACTGGTGGTGGCATCATTGGCTCGGCACCATTAGTTGCAACACTAACACTGTTGTCACATCGTCTCTCCCTCTTTTATATACATATTCTTTTACGATCCCATTTCTCCATATATACACATGCCATACATATGCGTTACATATGTGACCAATCGAAAATCACGCTTCTTATTCTATTTACATTTGATTTTATATTATCAAATTATTCTTCGTTTTTATATTTTATTTGTTTCCCTATTTTTCTCTTTTTTTTCTACATAATATCTTTTACCCTACACCATTTTGTTTTTTTAAAGGCTAATTATGAAATTAGATTAAATGGTTTCTTTTTATCGCGTTAGGATATATAACCACACAATAATATTATTAATTTTATTTTTATTATATATAATATAAAAGATTTTTTAAAGTTCGTTTCTTATTAAACTTTTCGTTTCGTGAAAAAGAAATAATGATGATGATGATTATTATTATTCATAAAAGAATGTATATAATTCGTGTTTTTAATGCGTTGCGCGTTTTTTACTTGACTCACGTAGTAATTACGTAATCCGCGATTAAACCCAAAATGGATAGCAGTTGGTAATTATTGTAAATGATACCATATAAAAATTCTTTTTGAAAAGCGTTTCGTGCCAAGAAAAATTTCAGTTTTTCCTTGGGGGATAATGTTTTATATTTTATTTAAAAATACGTCTTATCAAACACTAAGGCTATTAATTTATAAGAAAGAAGATATTTATATATAATACGACGGCTAAAACGATCGGCTTATTGAACGTGATTGTTCGTTGAGTATTCATCATGATAATTCCAATGCAATATAAATTCAAATTTATCGATATGATTTATCGAATTTTCGTAGATTTATTTAAGATAATTTTGGAAAACGCGCGAGGGATCTGATTAAAAATATTTATTTTCATGTAAATTATATCGGCGATTGGGCGTAACGTTTGTTCAAATTATATTTTAAAGTATTTATATATTTCTTTATATTTCGATATTATTTAATTAATTAGATTATTAATTGTAGATTAAGTTTTAAAAATCGTCGAATTAATTGTTAAAAGTTTACATATTTTTAGTTTAATGGATTTTGACTCACACTTTACATGTAAATAATGAGAAAGAAAAGTATTATTATTATTATTAATTAATGAATGTTTGTAAAGTGTTAAATTATTTTTTAATTCCGTGTAATTTTGTTGTTGAAAAAAAAAAAAAAAAAAAAAAATGGCGTGGCAACGTCGCTCCGATCTCGAAGCATCTTTTCTCTTGTGACGCTCGTTGTCCCTTTACTAAAGAAAGACGAACGGGAAGGGTCAAGGGAGAAAAAGACAAAGGGAAAGAAAAAGAAAGCTTGTGTGATGATGACAAAGAACGAGGACGCCCTAAGCCCTCCAAAGTCTTGAAAAACAAAACGACAGAGAGACCGTACAAATGAACTTTGCGAATCGAATTCTTTTAACTTTTAAAAAAGGGATACCTAAAAAAGGGCAAGTGCTAACAACTTGTTTTACTATTCAACCGAATAGTAATGCCGAAATGATTTCCATTCAATTTCGATAATAACGTTGATTGAATCCTTTTCCACAAAACATTAGATCAAAAGGACAATCACTTTTAAAACTTTTATGGGAACCCAACAATTCCTAGATTATCTAAACAAATTATTTTCTATTATTGCTTTGTTCAAATGAATTTTGTTTACAGACTTTAAATGTAAAAGGCTCAGAATTTGTCTACTATTTCCCTCAAAAAATATTAAAAAAGATTATTTGATTGTTAAAACGCGATTTAATAATTTATGATCTACCATATCGGTTTTTACGTGCATCGAATTTATTTATGGTAGAAATAATTTAACCGACTGAGAATTTAATGCTTTGAAGTAGAATTTTTGTAAACACCATGGCGGGAGCTAAAATGATCCCAAACGCGTTTGTTTCTTTTTTTTTTTAATTCCGTTTTGTTTTTGCCTTTGAACGTCGCCATAGCTTTGATAAAAATAATTTCATCTGTTTTCTCTCTCCTCTTTCTTTCTCTTTCTCTTTCTCTTTCTTTCTTTTTATGGGGTTCACGATCTTTTTCCATACGGGTCGTGTACTGCGTTAGCCAGAATACAACGATCTAAGCGTCCTAAGAAGAATGTCTACCCGCATCTGAAAATCGCGGTAGCAATAAGTGCATCTTTCTTGTTTTATATACATAGATACATGTTGCCAGAGTAATGTTCTTCACATAATCGGATATGTTTCAGCTTCCTAAAGGACCAATCCTCTTCTTACCATGTCTCCAATTTCATTTTCAATCCTATCCACTTCCTTTCGAGCTCGTAAATTGAAAAACTAAAGTGGAATCTTTAGATATAAATTTTGTCTAAACCATTCGAATCCCAGTTGTTCACTGTAAACTCCCTTTTTTTTGTTATTTATTATATTTCTGTTTATAAAGAAAGAAAGAAAGAAAGAAAGAGAGTAAAAGAGTATGAGTTCAATTGTTGTTAAAACAATTAGCAATAAATATATTAATAATTTATTTGATACTCTATCGTCCTTTTCTTACGGTTTATGTATATTTTTTATTTTCATTTTTATAAGTTTAATAATACGTACAAAATAACATTTGATGTTAAATTGTATCTTAAAAAATGTAAAACTACAAAAATTTACTATTTTTATTTTCTCTTTTGTGTTCATTCATCAAAAATAAATGCACATACAAAAGTAGAGTTGATTTATTTTTATTTTTATTTTATATCTTTTTTCCTTGCTCTAATCTATCGGACGTAGGTACTTATATTGTATGAAAAGTTATTTTAAATGTGTTTTAAGTTTAATATTACATAAGATAATCGAAAGAGAAGATTGATTAACGTGAAAGTTTTAATATTTTCAACGTTATCTGTTTTAATATCTAATTGCGTAACGTAGCCCAAGTAATAAGAAGAACAAAGTATAGCTCGGTTTAATCGAAGAGCAATATTTTACAAGAAATATCAATTAAA